TGCTTCCATTTCCATGAAAATGTTAGTTATGTCACACATCTGTATTCCTGTTTACACAACTTTAATTCTTTATTTATTATAACATGCACAGAATACTATACACAGAAATAAAACTTACATTTTATATATTGCTGTACATAATTTCACAATAACAAAACAGCTCCAGAAGAGTCATTGCTCTTCAGTACTATCATTCATTGCCTTTAGATAGGTTTAGTAGTACAACTAGGAAGGAGCCAAAAAGGTCTAGATTCTCTTTCATGTAATTTATTTGGATTTTTTTTCTTAATAAAGGTAAAGATTTGAATGCAATAAATGCATTTATACACATGTATATACAATATCTAAGAATTTACTCATCATCCATAGCAGTAGTAGCTATATCCACAATAGTATAGGGGTGAATGCAGGTTTGCATCTTCTAATTCAGGCCTTCCTAATATTGATTCTGGTTACTCTACTATGCAGGCTTTGGTCCTATACACAGTAATCTGGCATTTCTCTGTGCAGAGAATGGCTGTATTTTCTGGGATATTGTAAAATTAAGAAGTGATATAAAGTAAATTTCTTTAAGAAATAAATTCTTATGAATTCTAAAAACTTATATATCATGTTTCTTCACTGATGATTAATTTTTGTGTATAAGAGTCAAATAGCCACTTTAACATGGTACAAAAGCTAAAACAGTGTCCCAAGTTAGGATATTTCCCCTAACTTGCAACAAGAGGCATTTAAAATACTGTACTTTTTTTTTTAAATAATAGGGATGTAAAATGTTTAGTTAGTGTTACCAAAGCTAATGGCAGAGACCGATATTTGTACATATATTTATTATTATTCAATTTTATTTTTCGTGTGTGGTCTTTAGCTTAGAATTTGAAAATTGTCCTAAGTGTTGGCACTTGACTGTACGAGAATATTTAATTTAGAGCTGTGATTAATGCTGCCAAATGTAGTACTTTACTGCATTTTTTTAATACTATAATGCTATAGTTGTAATAAATATTATGAAAAAAAATTTGTTTAATATTTTATCTAGTACTTTTGGATTTTTTGAGAAACAATGCAGAAACATTAACAATGAATGGAAACTGCACATTCTTATAATATCAATGAAATGATTTTCAAATCATGCCAATTGTCCCAGAGAAGTAATTCAATGTTTAATAAAGTTATATAAAAACAAAAGCTTTCAAATCTAATAGAATTTTTACTTTAAACAAATTGAGAAATATTACAAAACTTAAAATTTCTTATCCATGTAATCTGTTTCTCTCATTTAGATGCAATTATAGGAAATATTTTTTACAGTTAATTATATAAAAAAGCAAAATAATCCAATCTTTGCAAATATCTACAATTATTAGTCAGAGAAGTTATGACTGCAGTTAGATCTTTATTGAAATTATTATTTTGTGTTAGTGGGAAAGTTTAATCCCCTGTATATCATTAATTTTATTGTCCTATCAAATAATCAGTAAATACCAGTATATTTACTACTATCACTTTCCAGAAATACAGTAGACAGACTAGCTAAACAGATGCAAACATCCCTGCTCCAAATTTCTGACTGCTGTCTACTGGACACACAGTACAAAAACAATTAAGTGACATGTCACCTTAAAGTGAAGTCATGTGACCTCCAAAATTAGTTGCTAATCACTTCTTGCCTTGTATTTCAAGATAATATATATATGTGATCTGTATTTGTTTTATTCATATATATATGAATATTTTATGACACCTTTTTAATATGTAATTGCTTGCTTCTCATATGAAAACACACAAATATACCAAAAACCAGTAAAAGGAATAAAAATATTTTCTGATATGAATGTTTTCATTTGTTTCTATCATCATCAGGTATGCCATAATGAATACCAAACAGAACAACAATGTTTAACAATTGGACACATTCCTTTTACTTGCTTTGTGTGTTTTCATTCCACACAACCAGTTTTTTTGAAGAAGAAAATGATGTGCGTGTCTAATAAAACCTGTTCATTATGATATCTGCAAGAGGTCTTTTGACTGTCCATGTATTAGAAATCTCCACATAACACCGGCAAATTCTCTGGGCTTGCTTAGCATATGCTGCATCTTAACTTTGGTGAAATATTGCAGTATAGTTTCTTCAGTCTTTTCTTCATCTTGCTTATTTTCTTCATATTTTTATCTTCTTAAGTTTTGACTGTCAATATATTTTTTATATGAGAACAAATATGTCAATAATAATTTATTCTAATATGTAAACTCTTTTATCGTTTATTTCCTTTTACACTGGCAGCTAGCGGCTAGCCTTTATAAGTCAGTGCAATGCTTGCGGGAACTTGATTGCTTGCTCACATGGCAGTTTTTCACAGCAAACAAGTGCACGTGCATAATGTCATTCAAAGCATTTAACACAGCTAGATTGTATTGAAAGCTTGTGGTACCCACTCAGCATACATGTATTGTGTACAGGGGCAGATCTACATAGTGACTAATAGGGCTTAAGCTCTGTGCCCACAAAAATTGATTATCATAAATTTTTAATACTTTTTCATTATAATATATTTCATGAGTAGATATAATGGGCTTTATAATAGTCCATACTTNATCTTCTTAAGTTTTGACTGTCAATATATTTTTTATATGAGAACAAATATGTTAATAATAATTTATTCTAATATGTAAACTCTTTTATCATTTGTTTCCTTTTACACTGGCAGCTAGCGGCTAGCCTTTATAAGTCAGTGCAATGCTTGCGGGAACTTGATTGCTTGCTCACATGGCGGTTTTTCACAGCAAACAAGTGCACGTGCATAACGTCATTCAAAGCATTTAACGCAGCTAGATTGTATTGAAAGCTCGTGGTACCCACTCAGCATACATGTATTGTGTACAGGGGCAGATCTACATAGTGACTAATAGGGCTTAAGCTCTTTGCCCACAAAAATTGATTATCATAAATTTTTAATACTTTTTCATTATAATATATTTCATGAGTAGATATAATGGGCTTTATAATAGTCCATACTTTTTATTCACACCAAATAACGTTTCTGCTTATTGTTTAATGTTAGAGATAGGCCTATTATTCTTATTATAACTTTCAGCATGCCCAAAAATTTTGGTCAGGATTTGCCCAATATAACATAACATACTGTTGAGAGCTTTATCACCATGTGCCCTAGACAGTGATGGAATGTAAGAATACACCCTTATATAAATCTTCTTTAGAATAGTCCTTAGAATTTCCTTACAATCTTCCTTATGCAGACTGCTACTCTAAAAATGCTACTGACATGATGCTCGATTAAACTGAGTGTTCTGCAAAATGTTCTTTGTTAACAGGAGTCCTGCTAATGTAAAACATAAAAGAGAAAATCAGGAACATGAAAGAATACTCTGTTGAGCACACATGGTTGTATTTGTTAAAATATGTGTAATTTTACAAATTCCTCTTGTTTTAAAAATAATCTGTGGTTTATTTTTTGTTTTTAGCTGAAACATTTATTAAGCCAAACAAATTTTGTTGATAAGAGTATATTTTATTAGTTTATTTAGAATGCTGTAGAAAGATAGATATTTCTGTTGCAAAATTCATTATGAAAACTACTTTTAATATTGTTATTGTAATCAATTTGGATTAATATAATTTAGGTAGTTTATTATAAAATATTGATACTTCCTAAGGAAAAAGTACACACTATTTCTTTTGTTTTATATTTCACAAAGCAAGACATTTATATATTATATTTATTTTATATTAAGAAATTTGAAAAAACAACATTTATTTTTAACATTTTTCTTATGAACTTCATAATATATAATTCTGATTGGAAGATTACAATTTTGTGAGTGATAAATCAATTGATTATCATATTTGTATTTCAAAGTTATTTTTTTTTATGCATACCAAAAATTAATTTGTTATAAAAAAAATAAGTTAAATAATTATTATTTTTAGTCATGAAAATTTAACTACAAGAAAAGAATATTTGATAATTTAATTTATGAATTTTTTAAAATAATTACTAATATAATTAATGCTAAAAATATCAAAATTTTATTACAATGTGATACAAATTAATATTCAGAATATTCTAAGACAATGCGTACCATAAAATAGGTAAAAGCAAAATATGACTTTCAACACCTCAACATAATGAATAAAAAAAATGTTTTTAAGAAATTTGAATTGAAAACACTTATTGATGAGTTCAAGTTATAGTGTATAGGCAAAAGAATACAATAATATGCATAAAAAAGAACTGTTTTTAAAATTTTTGAAGAGGAAAGAGCAGGGATGGCCAACTTATGTCCTGTCTAATGAATTTATGTGGCCCGCGAACATTCTTTCGATACTAGCTACTGAAGTCCGAATAGCTCGATAAAAAATTCTGACGCCTAAAAAAAAAAAAGTCAACAACAACAACTCACTGTGCATTTAGAGTGTTAATCCTCCATTACAAATCGTTGTAAGTACAGCATAGAATGTTGATAAAGCAAGATAATGTGAAAAATGTATCTGTAATCTCTATGTACAATTTAGTCTCTACAGGGTGACACCACGATGAGATCTTGCACCATCTCAAAATCTTCCTAGGGCAGCCTCTGGTTCAGCCCGTGGAAAAAGTTTTCTTTCCAATCTGGCCCGGGCAAAAACTGTTGGCCACCCGTCCTAGAAGATAATTATGATTTTATAAGTTACTTTGATACTGTTTTTAAATTCTTTTGTATCCAGTTCAATATAAATGATATTTTAAAAGTTATTCTTTTCTATAAAAATTATACTTGTTGATCTAAAGATGATAATTTGAATTTATAAAATATACTGATCAATAAAATTTTTTATTTAAATTTCTTAAAATCTTTGTTCATTATTTTGATTGCTAAAATGAGAAATCATATTCTATAAATATTTTCATTGTTTACGATTAACTAACTGAAATTTTAATAAGTTGTTCATAATACTTTTGTAGTTTATGAATTTCATAATTATGTTTTTCTTTCAGCTCATCGGAAAAGTGCTGTTGAACGTCTTGAAGAAAGCAAAGCTAATTATGTTAAATCAGAATGTGTTTTAGATTCAAAACAAAAATTTAAAAACAGTTCACATCTGCAAGTAAGCATTGGGCCACAACTAAATGTTTTGAGAAAGGGACCATTAAAACATTATCATAGTCATGATTTATCTCTTCTAAAGTCACAAACTAATTTCTCCATCCATGATCCTGATCAGAACCAAAGTTTAAATTCACAAGAACATCAGCAAATGATTATATATTCAAAATCACAAGGTCCCATTAGGGCAAGAGCTAAATCTCAATCAGAGGTTAGAGATTCACAAAACAGGAGGAAACTTTCCTTTCTTAGTCATGGCAGTGGAAAATCTAACGATGAATTTGGTGATTTGGAATCACAGTTAAAACGTCTCATATCTTCAAATTCAAAAGAAAATATTAATTTAATTTCAACTTCAAATTTTTCCATTCCATCCAAAATACACACAGAGGGACCAAAAGTCCATCGTGGGTTTTCAGATCCAATTAAAAAAGATAGTAATCTTATGCCAAGACATGCCCAAGAAAGAAATTATAACATTCATAAAAGTTTACCTGATTTGTCTCCATCATTACATGAACCACTTGATAAAGAAGAAACACCATCTTCTGAAAGTTCAGATGATTCTCTTTTCTGGCAAGATAAAGCAGAATTAGATATGAATTTATCATCATGTCCTATTTCAAATAATTCATCTTATAAATATGACTCTTTAATTGATCAGGAAGAAATGTATGTAGATTGTCTTCGAAATGATTGTCCTGTAACTGAAATTAATAATGGTGCTGATACATTACAGTCTTTAAGGAGAGAATGGAATAGTGATACTATTCGTAGAAACATTGTTAGTAGATCAAAATCTGATGTAAGTCACAGGTATTCTAAAATTCAGACAGAACATGTGCCAAGGAGGAATAGTTATTGTACAGCAGAACTTGAAAGGTTTTTTGACATGATGGGACTTGATACAATGGTATGGCATAACATTACATCTCCAACACACCTATCAAGTCCTCCACGATTTTTTGACAGTGTTAGTTCCATTAATTCAGATGATCATCGATCAAGTATCTGTAGTGAAGATTCATTTTCTGAAATTCCACGAGAAGGTTTAACTAATAGGGATCTTCGAGAACATGGACCTATTGAAACATCAATTGTGGAAAAAAATGCAAGAGTAATCAAATGGCTTTATAACTGCAGAAAAGCTTTAAAAGAACCTGGCTCGTGATTCTGGCTGCTAAACAGTATTTGGTATAAAATTTTTATAATTACAGTAATTAATTCTATATATTTATATTAATAAGTATAAATAATTTAAATTTGTTGAATTTTGTTTTTTTACCTTACTTTCAATTTCAAAAATAAAAAAACATCATTACTCTGCAGTGGGTGATCAGTTAACGAACATAATCCTTTCCAAGACCATGTTTGCTATCTGAATTGTTTATTAACTGATTATGAATTTACCATAGATTTTTGTGGGAATTTGATTAATTCGTTCTGGAGACCACTGGCAAATGGTCTCCAGAATGAAATGGTATCATCTGTGTTTCTCAGATGCAATTTTTCTTTCTCATTAATCAAAAAGACTCAAGCAGATATCTTTCTTAGCTAAGATTGTATCTACTATAGACTTGTTGAAGTCATCTGCTTACAATATCAGACATCATCTGCCCACTCTCTACCATGGCTATTATCTCTTGCTTAGTTTCTATAGTGAATGTAGTTCTTGACACTCCACTCTTTTTAGGCCCATAATATTTTCTAAACTTTTTACTTAAAAAAACTGATAAGCACTTACAAAAAATTCAGAGAACAGAAATTAACTAGTGCAAAAAAGGTTATGTATACACCTGTGAAAGTTTCATTTCATAAACCATGTATAGATGCCATTAAAATATAGTTTTACAAATCTTAAACACAGCATCACTTCTTATGTTTGTTCTGTGAGGTGTTTGTTGTCTGAACTGTTTGTTAACCAATCACCCACTGTATATTTGAAATTTTAACTAATCACAAAATCAAAATAACAACAAGCAATAATGCATTTTATATTATAAAAAATTATCTTACATAAAAATGCTATATAGCACAAGATCTGGATGAAATTATAAAGTAACACAACATAGAACTAGAATATCCATAAAAAATATTTTAATCATAAAACTAACAATTTGACTGCTTTAAATAGTCATAGTTAAGTTAAATACATTCTATTAATGAACACAAATTAGAATGTTGAATGTGGGCCCTGTCCCTGTTCGGGTGTAGTATTTGAGATTCATATTACATCCAACCAAGATAGAAATGTTTAGAAAGACTTGAAATGTACAAAGCAACAAGAAAAGCTATGGCCAAAAATTATAAAGATGCTGATATTATCTCACAGGCCTGGAAATCCTTTTTTGATATGTAAACAGCCACAGTGACATTCACTGCCTCAACTAACAACATATGTTTTCTATCTATTTTAAAATTTATGTTCTAATTTCTATTCTTTAATAAAATGTAATTAATCTGATGATAACCATTTAAAGTGGTTGAAAATGTTAATTTGAGATTAAAATACTTTTTTCCTGGATATTCTGGTTCTATGTTATGTTTCTTTATAATTATTATACAATATTAAATCTTAAATATATTTAGTGGACATTTAGATTCACTTAATATATCTAACCTGCATTCAAGTATTGATTTTTTTTCTTTCCCCCTTGCAGTGGTTCTCAATCTTCAATCTCAAACAAGTTAGATAAGGGCTCTTTTTCTTTACTTAAGGGAAACAGGCATTTTCTTGGACAATAGTTAATGAATATTATTAGTTTCTTATATGCAACAAACAAATTTTAAAAATACATAATTTTAATAACAAGCTATAACTAAATCAACACCTGTTCACTCGCTGAGAGATTTATTCTTAACACAAACGTTTTCAATCCAATCAATGGATCATCGTCAGGTAAATTAGAACATTTCAAAAAATAGAACAACAAGTTCAAAATACAAAAAATATAAATATTAATAACGGATAACCAATATATTACTAACAGCAAAATAACGTTTTTAAATAATATAATTAATACAAATGCTGCTAAAATTATAATTGCTGTTAGTAATATATTGGTTATCCGTTATTAATATTTATATTTTTTGTATTTTGAACTTGTTGTTCTATTTTTTGAAATGTTCTAATTTACCTGACGATGATCCATTGATTGGATTGAAAACGTTTGTGTTAAGAATAAATCTCTCAGCGAGTGAACAGGTGTTGATTTAGTTATAGTTTATTATTTTCTGCTGAGCACGCTTTGGGTTGTTTAATAACAAGTTCTGAGGCACATCTAAAAATTTCTAGATTTGGTAAAGGCAAAAATACTCTTGATATATTAGAATTATAGGATAGCCTTAAAATGTCTGGATAAACTAGAATTGACAGATTTTATTTATTTATTTTATTTTCAATTACAATAGGAAAGTATTATAACAATAGATTTCCTCTACCTATAAATTCTCTCTGTTATCTGTCTGTCTTTCCTTAATCTAAAAACCAAGTTGGATAGATGAAAGATGAGACCAGATATAGAAACCTTAGGGGCAGGAGGCCCTGATTAACTATATATGAAATTTTGATGCAAACTGGCAATCATGTTATTTCAATTCAAAAATTTTCCCCTGAAAGGTGTTAGATTGATGATTGGCATAACTCTATTGTTAAAGGAAAAGTATGAAGTACAGGGGCAAGCCACTACTAAGTTGAGGTGGGGAGCATACATTTTAAGATAAATAAATTTAAAATATGATTAAAAATTGCAGCCCAGCACTGTGACGATGTTTAACAGTAAAATCCTGATTGGTATACATCATTCATTTTATTTTAAGTAAAAAGTATAAAATTATAAAGAAAAGAAATTAAGAATAGTATAATATTCATTTGCATACTTTGTTTGAAACGGTAATCAACAAAGTAAATGTTCAGAAATATCTACATTTTGTGAAATGTGGTAATGTAAAATATGTTTTATTTAGTTAAAAAAGTTATATTCCTTTATTTTAACTAAACTGTCCTTGTCTTTTATTGAAATGAGAAAAGATGTAATTTGTTCCTTAAGTTTTCAATGCCTGTGCCAACAATCCATTTTCTTCTCCATAGAAAACTATGGTTTACCATAAATCAAAATCTAAGAGACATTCAGTTTTAAGTTTTTGGAGTGGTATGGGGTGGAGTATGGGTTGGAGAGAGATAACATTAATCATAGCTGTCCATAGGTCTTACCACCTCAACCATATCAGTTTGGGGAACTGAAAACAAATCCAGTGGTCAAAATACTCCAGGAATTTTTGGAGGTAGTCTGTCTCAGATATGTTGGGCCCATTTTTTTAATAGAAACCTTTGTCTGTAAATGTTTCCCTATTGAATATCTGTAATAGTTATCCTTATCTTCTGCAGTATTCTGAAATAACCATCAATTGCCTTTTAATCATGTTTTATCACAATGATTTTGTTATCAAAAGCCTCTTTATTCAGAAATATGTCCTACATTTAATATAGATAGGTACAAATCAAACAAACTGCCAAATTCTGCTAAATTTTAACTCTTTCTGTCTTACAGCACTAACTAGATGGAACCCATATATCCAGGGATGGGCAACCTGCGGCCTGCATTAATATTTTTTGCGGCCTGCATCATGTTAAATATACCCATGCTAATTTATAATTATACATATGCATACGAATAAATAATTGTGATTTACCGATATTTTTTCTTCTCTTTTCTCTTGTGTGCAGCCTAAGTCTTAAAATGCAACCTTACATAGGAAAAGGTTGCCCATCACTGCATATATCAAGCTTTGAAATGAAACCAAGTTGTTTCAAGTGATCATAAACAGTTGAATTCGACAAATTAAATCTCTTAGTGATTTCTTGTGTTGTTATTTGTCAATTTGCTTCGATCAATACCTTTATTTTGTTTTCATCAGCTTCAACTGATGCATCAGCTTCCAGAACATGGTGCATCTTCAATATCGAAATCACTGGAACAAAATTTTGCAAATCAGTTTTGGCATTGTTGTTCTGTTAACACATCATCTCCATATATGTCACATAATTTTTTCTTGCTTGAACATTATTCTTACCTTTTCGATAATAAAAAAGCAAAATATGCCAAAAATGCTGCTTTTGATTTTCCATGTTTGATGGGACACAAAAAAAAAACAACTGTAAAGAATCAAACAAAATTTTTTACAAATAAGCCTTGAAATGTCAACTGTTAAAATATGTAATGACAATATGATTTAGAATGAAATTGGTGGGTAAAATTACAACTAATCCCTCTGGTGGTAAAAAAATGAAATTATTCAAAATATTGGGCTGTTTGGAATGTAGTCTTATCGATGCAGAGCTGGAACTAATGGTGGATCAGATTACAGAAAAACTAAATTCATATCTTGGAACTGTATTTTGGCACCTATAAGTATCAAAGCTTGGAAAGTGGGTGGCACACAAACTATTAGAAATCAATTGTCTGCAGTGAATAAACATCAGCACTTCTCTTTTAACATGCTGTTTCTTTACTGCATTATGACAGACGATGAAAAATGGATAATGTATCACACTATCACAAGAAAAAGACTGTAGACAGATAAGGATAAAAAGTCCTCACCAACAGTAAATGGAGGGTTGTACAAAAAAAAAAAAAAAGGATGTTCTTATCTGTATGGTATCATTTACTTTACTTTAACTGTTAGAACTCGATAAAAATGCAGGTGTGTGTTGTCAACAGCTTTCATTCTTAATTGATTAAAAAACACTTGCAATTAGCAAACATTATGTCAGTGGAACAAAAACTATTTAATGCTAGACTGCACATAACACTTAAAGTTAGAAAAAAAATTAGACTTTAATTGGGAGTCTCTGCCTCATCTTCCTTACTTGCCAGGTATTATCTCAAGTGACTACCATTTATTTCTAAGCCTTCAGAATTTTTCATCAGGAAAAAATTAAAAGATGAAATAAAAAACAAAATCAGAGACCTATTAAAATGGCATTAAAATTTCCAATACGATAGCACAACAAGTTGATAATAAAGGAACATATATCACTGATAAAACATAATTCCTTTTTTTTTTTTTTTTTTAATATGCCTTGTTTCAAAATTTTCCAAAAATATGCACTGACCCGATAATTGCAAAAATATTTCAGTTGTTAATATTTCTGGCTTCCTGCATAAACAGTTATTTTGTTGAGTTTTTACACTTTAAGATTGTTTTATTTTCTACTTATTAACTGTTGTTATAAAAATTTCTTTGTAACTATATAATTTCAATATTGCAATTAAAAAATATAACATATTTAAATCATATTTTTTTTGTAATATAGTATATTTGACAAGTTTATGAAGAAAAGAAAATTTTGAAACTACTTCATAGTGGATATGAATATAAAGAAATAATGCAAGAAAAAAAAGTGAATTTACTTTTTTTCATGTAATGTCAATATTTATTAAAATGCAATATGATAAGAATATTAATAACACACATACAAAAATATTTATTTACAAGTAGAAATACTATATAATAGTTCTGGCAAAAATACAATTAGGTACTTAAAATTTTAAACTGCTACAGTAAAATTAAAAATTAAACTTTGTCTATGTGTAAGATTTCATCATTTCTGATTTTCATTTTTTAAAATATTTAACTTACAAGTCTAGTCTTTAAATTTTCTTTCAGTTAACAACCATACCATTAATGTAAAGTTTTAAATTTTGTTAAGTTTTATATAACAAATTTTTTAAAAATAAGACTAAGAATTATTATTTATGATATTAAAAGTTCATTTTTATTTTAAGTAATGTCAGAATTGAAATGCCTTTAAAAAAATTCATAGTATATTGCTATATTAGTCCAAAATTAATTGTTATTTTTATAAAGCAAATAAAGTAATAATTATATTTATCTGAATATATATTTTTATTCAAATAAATATAATTAATTTTATTTAAATTATAAATTTTTATTTAAATAAATGCAAAATATTGTTCAGAACAATTATGCGATTATGTTTATAACAGTTTAATAATTGAAATTAAAATATATGGTGCCATGGATATGGATTTTATTATAAACTTTTTAAAATGCCACAAATTTAAATATCTATGAATAAAATATCACAAGTGCCCTAAATATAATACAGAAAAACTTTTAGACTGTAAAATTGTATTGACATATCTAAGAGATTAATAAGAATAATAAAATGATGCATTTATATGATATGATATGATAAAATAAAAAATATAATTAAAAGTTATTTTTAAACAATAGAAATAAATTCTACTTTAACCATATTTGCTGCCAAGGGGCATATCTTATGTCACATCTTTTTGATTGCTATACTGTCAGGTATATCTTCTATGCTATAGCTGATGATTTGCTTTCAAATAGATGGCTCTTCATAGTGCCATAATCATCTTAATTGAGTGATATTTGTTTCCTCTTTATCTAGCATATTCATAATGTTTTTTTGGTTTCTGAATCTGTCTATCCTTACAGTATATTGTGCTATATGGCACATGTTATTTAAAAAAATTAGCATTTTCCAAGTCTTAAAAACAGAAATTTTTAATGAATTCAATACATGTATATTGATTTAATATTTAAAAATTCAAATTTAAACAATTAGCTTTTTGACCTGAAGACCCACTTTTATGCTTGTCATGTTAGCTACAAACTTGTTAGTTACTTGAAAATGCATTAAAGTAATATTCATAAAGAGATAGTTGTTGTTAAATGAGGAGACCAGAGTTTTAAATGTAATGAATCATAGTTGTTAATTCCTTAATGGGAAAAATGATATAAAATCAAATTTAAATAGATGGCTTAAGCAATTTTTACTATAATTTAACCCTTTTTTTGTTAACAATTAAAATCAGTGTAATAAAATATCAAAAGTAAACAATTTACATCATGTAAGTAAAAGAAAGTTGTTCTTTTAAATTCATCATGAACTATATTGAAGTGATAATTTTGAATTTGATAAAGATTTATTTCAAAACCATTTGGTTAGAATGATTTTAAAATGATGTCACTAAAATATTTGCAAATAGAATTCTCTGAATTAAAGCAGTTTTTTATTGTTGATCAATTTATTTTCTGTCATTGAGAATTAAATATTGCAAGTTAATACTTAAGTAATTTTTAAAATTAAGTATTAAGGGTCAGTTAAGTGAATTAATATCAGTATTTTGTATTATTTTTTAATTACAATTTTCTTACAAAGCATAATTAGGCAGTTTAGTTTAATATTGTTGAAAGAAGACAATCCATTTTGTATTAATTTTAAATAAATGATTTAAGCAAATATTAAATGAACTTGGCATCAGTTTAATATTGTTAATTTTACTACTTAGTTCAGGAAATCAAATTGTTTTTATTCAGAAAATTGTTTTATTCTTTTTCAAGATGATCTTCAGTTTCAATTTTCTAAAATGGATGGTTCATTATCAAGCACTATTAATTAAATGATTTTTAAAATTTAAACTACTTCGTTTTCATGTTCTATTTTAATTATAGTTCATTCTTAAGTTAAAGGTTCTGCATACAAAATGTTATGTCAATTATGATTCAATCCAGAGAAATAAATGTGGACAGTTTTGATGCAATGGACTTTAGATAGAGAAGTCCAAATAGACTGGAAGAACCATAAAATGATTAAAGGATAGGCAGAAAAAAACTGAACAATGCTACATACATTTTCTAGTCCACTCCCTTACAATAATTAACACACATGATGTTTTAATGCCAGACAATAGGTGGGCAGATATACTATAACACTATAATATTACCTCTGTAGTAGATAATGTTCTAGCCAGGTTTGTTTAAAAAAGTATAAAAAGAAAATATAATTTTAATCTTGTGGATATTTGGGAGATAAGGAAACAGACATTAATATAATTATTTTCATGAGAAGACAGCAATAACAAACAGCAAAAATGCAAATACTTCTTTTAAAATACAAATACAGCGACCTCTCATTTATACAACTTTTATCATTGGTCCCCTTAAAGTTGTATAAGTGACAGAGTTGTACAAAAGAGAGACTGACAATTTGAATGAAAAATGTTAAAAATATAACTAGCCTTTTCAGTATTGATTATTACAGTTAAAAGCATTGTTTCTTTTAAATTCAAAATACGAAGTTAAATCTGGCAACATTTCTATCTATGTCACCCAGGAATTAATGTGCATATCCAGGTTTGCTGCAAAAGTGGGCCTAAGGAGTAAAATATTGTATTTTTCTTTGTTAAAATCTCCATAGGGCAGAAACTGGAAGTATGTGGATTTTGGAAATTTTGTTGGCCATCCAAAGGTTACTTTGACATTATTAGATAGAATACATGTCAGGGAAGGTCAATATGTCAAAATTTGAAAAATATGCATGTAAATAATCATGGCTTGACACAAAATTCATACCAAAGTTATTAGTCAACTAGTAGATGAGACAAAAACTAACAACAGTAAAAATTAAGATTATTAGATTATTTCCTACTTCTCACCCTTCTACTATATTATTAAAGTATTGTATATTTGATTTATATTTGTAAATTTATATAGTATTTGATTTATATTTACAAAGGTTATCTTACGTAAGAGTTTATCACACCAAGTGCCCAATCTAACATATTTTAAAAATTCTCTAAATTGTGTATGGTAGAGGAATAAAGAATTTTTAAAATGTGTTAGATTGGTCATTTGGTATGATAAACTCTTATGGAAGATAACCTTTATAGTTATATAGCCGATCTTGCCCATTTTCACCGGGTGCAAGAATTAGGTTCCCCTCTTCTGAGGCTAATTAGAGAATTTTTAGATGGGTCTAAAAATATGTTTGGTTTCCCACAAAAACACATCTAAAATAGTACAGTAGAAGCTGAGTTTTTCAGAGTAATCCTTAACCATCTCCCTCTTCCCCATGGGAGGAAATTTTCAAAAATCCCTTTTTAGTTTGCATTCTCATAGCATACTCTGTGTACCAAATTTCAACTTTTAACTCCTGACTGTTTGGGCTCTGTACTTATAAAATAATCAAGATGGGTTGATGATAATAAGTTACATACCTGGCAACAGCATTAGGGGAATGCAACAATAGTCTGCACATATATGACAATGTTATGACATTACCATTCGTTTTAACTAAACATATAGCCAGCAACTATTCTCTTTCTAAAAGTAGATATTATGTCCACTATGGTAATCCTCTCTGCTTTCTTATCTTCCTGGGCACCTGTTTGACTTATGGAAAACTGACACCACTCTGTTCTTGTGATTGACAATCACAGTTGTAAAGTGAGGCAAAAAATACATTAGTCTGAAACATTCATAGGGATGTAGAACTAAGATAGTTGTTCAAATGAGAGATTTTAGACATTATCTCCCTTAGGCTTCAACCAGGACCAGTGAAAAATGTGTCATAAATGAGAGAGTTGTGTAAATGAGAAGTGTATAAGTGAGAGGTCACTGTACTTTTAAAAGTTAAAGGTTGTAAAATTTAAAGAAGTCCAGTATTAAGAAGAAAGAAGTATATTTTAAATAAAACAAAAGCACAGTTGTTTATATTTAAATATTTGATTAATAGTATAATTAGTGATAACAAACTATCCATTTTAGAAAACTGAAGCTGAAGATGTTCTTAAAAAAGAGTGAAAACTTTTCTGAATAAAAAGCAATTTGGCTTCCTGAACCAATCAGTAAAATTTTCATTATTAATGATTTAATCATAAAATTGGTTATAATGAGAATCAAAACTGATAAATTTTAAGCAACAATTTACACAAAACACACAACTTTAAGAATTAAGAAAAATTTTAAGCATTTATTCTACTTTGATAACTATAGAATTTATGAAACTAATAGGATAACAGAATATGGAAATTACTTAATTGTTATACAGTAATACCTCGACTTACGCTACCCCGACTTACACGAACCTGGAATTACGCAATTTTCAAATCTCGCCGATTCGTCTTTTGTTTGAATGCCACGCAACTCTTGATTACTCATTCCCCCTGCACTATTGTTCAGCTTACATGTTCGGATGTGTTGCACGGAATTGACACATAGCTACAATTTATTGTGTGTTATTTATTTCTGTGTTTGTTATATCTACGGAGACTCGAGAGATCTTTGTGGTGATTTCTTGTAACCGTGAACGAATCAAAAGACGAGATAAGATTAACAAGAACATTTATTAGCTTATATACATCCAACTTGGATTTTACACAAATTGGGAAATTAACCCCAACTTACGCGAATTCGACTTACGCGGTTATCGCTCGATCCCACCTATCGCGTAAGTTTGGGGTATTACTGTATTTTGAAATTATTCAATAGCATTCATTTTTATTTCTTATATAATTTCATCTCTTATAGAATGAACCAAGA